CTGGAGGTGGGGGCCGAACCAGCACAGGTGCTAGACCAATGGCTTGAGCTTGAGCTTGTGCGGCGGCAGTTGCAGCGGCAGCTGCCTTGTCATAGTCGGCTTGGATTTCCTGCCACTGCTTGGTGTCTTCCTCAACTCGAGCATAACCATTGATTATGCGAAAGAGGTGTCCGATCGTCCTTGGCTCCTTGCGAGCGATCTTCCTTGTGAGTTCACCCTCAAGTAAGCCAGCCAAAGCTGCGTTGACAACGGATGCTTCGTTATATCTTGCACTTGGCATCGCGCCTGTGAGAACCAGCACATGTATTCCCGTGTCGATTCCCCTGGCCTTTGGCGAATGCCAAGATGGTCTTGTTGGATTTTCGACTCCTCATAGGTACCTCGAAAGTTAAGGACAAAGACACCGCGCAATTGCTCGCATCAGTAAATGCTATTAAGAGGCAAGTTAAAGTACCAAGATCGAGCAATGCCATCGAGCGCGAGGTGAATTACCTTCGCCTTGATATTCTCATTGCCATGAGCGGCTTCAATTGCGGATTCATAGATGGAAAGGAACTCTTTTGGGTCCGTTTCTCCCAAATACCTTGGGATGGGAGGGTACTTGAATTGAGGAGGAATGAGATGACTCTTGATTCTCCAACTCAGTGGCAAACCCTTTTCGCCACCCGGCTTTATCGCAGCACCATGTTGGCAGGGCCAACCTAGCTACAGGTATGGAAGCGCGAATGGTGAAGTCACGGCTTGCACATGAGGTTGGGCCCTGGGCGTTGATTGGTGCCCCGTGCCAAACACCAACGCCTGGGCTTGCTGATCCGTCGAAACGGCTTGTGCCGCCACGGTTGGGTCGATCATGGCTTGGGTCCAGGCTTGGTTCGGCAGTGGAGCTGTTCCGAACCCGAGGGGCGTAGCTTGCATGAAGGTCATAGGTGCTTGAATCGTGGCACTGGGGTCGAATTGCGGTAATTGGCTTCGAGGCGAAACCCCTTGAGCCAGCTGGTTCGCTTGGCTTGAAATGCCGTACTGGCCCAGCAGTTGCCCAGCTAGAGCACCCTGACTTGGAGTTCCCTCGGCTTGGGTCGAAGGTGAAATTCTTGGTAAGTTGTTGGGTTGATTTAGCTGCTGCAGAAAGGCTTGAAACTGGGCTTGCAAGGCCAAAGCTGCCTCCATCATTGCTTTTGGCATGTGAGTGGGCTTCGGGTACTGTACTTGAGGTGCAACCGTGCGAACCGGCGCCAAAATCATGTCAGGGGTCGGGCACGGGGCCACAGCTGGAGCAGGCTTGGCGAAGTACGTCGGAGCTTGTACGACTTGTGCAGCATGCAGAGGAAAAGCTTGGGGCTGGGTGAAGACGGTCAAAAACTGCTGGGCATAGGCCTTGGCTTGCCTCTCCGCTTCGTATGCTTGCTGCTGCTCTTGCATCTGGCGAAGCGTATCTTGCAACTTGGTCATGTTCTGACGCATAGCCCCCATGTCAGCTTCGGCTTGAGCTTCAAGTTTGGCGTTGGCTTGCGAGATGGTGATTGTTGTCGAAGTTGTAGCTTGTTGCGAAGAGGCGGCAGCTTGAGACGCCCCCAATATTTGAGACGAAAGGATTACGTCCCTGATCTGGAGCGTTTCCACCGCGGCCGCTGCCTTCGCCCCCTCTTGGTCTGTCGAAGTAGTCGGTGCCGAAGGTGGGAGAGATGGCGCCGCCGTCGGAGGTGGCGCGGCTCCTGCTGCTGCAGAAAGGCTTGAAACTGGGCTTTCAAGGCCGAAGCTGCCTCCATCATTGCTTGTGGCGTGCGAGTGGGCTTCGGATACTGTACTTGAGGTGTAACCGGGCGAACCGGCACCGAAGTCATGTGACGGGTCGGGTGCGGGGCCGCAGCTGGAGCAAGCTTCGCGAAGTAGTTTTAATTGGTTAAAATTATTTCCAAGGCTCTGAAAAATTCACTAAAATTCATGTTAATGTATTAGAACATGGGGAACTCAAGAAAAATTCCACCACGCCATTTTTGATTATTATTTACGTTTATTAATTAGGATTCAACTCTAGGTTAATTTAAACAATTTCTTCGGGCGATTTACTTAATGAATTTTTAAAGCAAGAAAGGGGAAACTTCAGGGCGTGACATCTACGTAATATGACATCAAGCAGACAAAAGAAAAGGATTATACTGGTTCAGGTCCCTTATCAGGTAATAGCCCTAGTCCAGTTTATATGAGATTGATGACGGAGAACCACAGATTACAATGAAAGTAAGCGAATCAGACGATAACGACAAGATCGTAATCGATGTACTCAACGAGATCTTCTGGCGACTTGGCTCCGCGTACTCCGGCTTCGTAAACTATGGTGGGTGTGTTGGCGATGAGATTCGATGCCCTGCACCCCTCCCTGGAGGTCCCTTTTTATACCGTGGATCATCTTGACCCCCAAGTCAACGGAATCTCTATCCCTTCGAGTAGGATTCAGGAAATCGCTTATCTCGTAGAGATATTTCCGTAATTTGCAACAGATTCCAAACGATGGATACGGAAACGATCCGTGTACGCAAAGGTATACCTTATCAGTGTATTCTATAAGTCGTAGGATAGGAGGTATGCCTTATCCGTAACCCTGACAATATGGAAATATGAATATGATTCAGAATAGTCTAAATGCATTATGGCAGTGTGATGGCAATATTGCAATATGGGAATCTGATTGTGATTCATAGCAATCAGATTCTTAATTTTTGTGCCAAAACAGTCAGACTCAGAATTTTATCACACAATAACTTTGTGCCAAACAAATAAGATGCAGAATTTTGTGCCACAACAGTCAGACTCAAAATATTGCCACACAACAATTTTGTGCCAAACCAATAAGATTCACAGTTTTCTTCTACAACAGTCACATTCACATTCAGAATTGAACATAGTCAAATTAGTTCTGCCATTACAGCAAACAAGCCTTAGAGTGTGGCAACATTTCACAATCAAGCGTTTAGAGTCTGGTATAACATCAAACAAACAAGCCTAATAGTCTGGAATTAAATCACAGAAACAAGCCTTAGAGTTTGGCAAGCTAAATTGCATAAAATAAAAGTTGGAGCCTTAGAATCTGGCATTACATAAACCATAGTTTGCATTACAAATCCCACAAACAGAGAATCGCAGCTTATCAGATTGCCAAGGTGGGAGCAGAAGGAGTGGTCCAGCTGAACTTTTTTTTTAGCCTTCTTTGCTGGTCGAACATGCTGAGACTTGTTTCCCTTCTTTGCAGGCTCCTGAACTGAAAGAGAAATAGAAGCCTTTCCAGATTTTATCTGGATTGATGCACTTGTAGAAGCTTGGGAGTGTGATACAATTGCTTGCAAATTGACACATGCAGACCCACCCTGCTGTGTTGCCACTTTTGCTTTTGCATTGATCTTTACAATTTGAAGGTGCTCCATTGGTGCCTGCAAATGATTGTATTAGATCAAGTTTTGAATTGAAAACAATTTAAAGTACATTCGATCACTAACCCTATTTGATGTTGTCATTGATGTCTTTGACAGCCTAACACCAGTGGTAGCAGATGAAGGTGCCTTCCTATTCCTACTCTGGACACTACTTCCAGGAGGGCTTGAGACATTGGCATTGGCTCAGCTTCCTCTGTTAAATCAGGTGTTTGAGTTGCCAATGGCTCAAGATCCTGTGTGTATACCACTATACTTCTCTCACTAACATGAACTTGTTCAGCCTCAGCCTCTGCATTGTCACCTTCCATGCCTACTTGCTGCACTTCTGCATTATCACCTTCCATGCCAACTTGCTCCATTTCTGCATTATCACTTTCCATGTCAACTTGTTCTACCCCATTCCCATCTGATTCATCTCCCATGTCCTCTTCCATCTCCAACTCATAGTCACTTCCTTCATCCTCATATGATAGATCAACTAGGATTGGTGCATCTGCATACACCTCAGCCACCCCTCCATCCACAATACAATCATTCATGTATTGGCACATACTGTCGTCATCCAATAGTGCCCTTAACTCAGAATTAAGATCTTTCCCTGGGAACAACAAATGTAGCATTGTTCCTTCACCAACTTTGTAGTGGTCATGCAAATGGCCTACTATTTTAGGCAGAGATACCTTATCTTGATCTAGGTAAGACATTGCCTCACTTCCACCAACATAGTGCTTCTCCCTACCAGACACCACAAAATCTCTATTGAAGTGAAACGTAACTTGAAGGGTGTTTAAGACGTCCATGGAACCTACATGCAAGTTGGAAAAAAATCACTTCCCCATCGTTTTAAAATACCTAGGTTTTAGATCCCAAATAAAAAGAGAGGCAATGGATGATATAGTATGACCAAATCGAGGTTACCAACTGTTGTTCTACATAAACAATGCTGACTACACCAAATCCGAGGGCACAGTGCGCATCTACCACAACATATAATTTGGTGGAGAACCCTAAATCAAAATGGGGAGACCACGATAAAGAAAGGGTGGACTCACCAGCTCGTGCTGCTCCAGTTGCGGTCGCCCCAAACCACCACCGCGCTGCATTCCACCGCTGTCGACGCGCCCCCTAGCGCCACCCGAGCCGTCGCCCTCTTCGTCGCCAAGCTCACAGTAAACATGTCTAGGGTTTCGGTCAATGAAAAAATGAGCGGGATGGCTACACGCGTGGGCATTTACCAGTCCGGATCTCACTCAGCTAACGATAACCTAGTGTCAGCTACCTATTTCCCACCATCCTCAGCTAAGTCAGCAATGTTGACCACAGTCAAGTTGCCATGTCATCAAATACTGCCCATAATACTGCCATAGGAGTCGGTCTGTACCGGTTTTAATATTGAGGGTTAGGGTCGTTCTATCCGGGTTTTCTTAACATTACGAATTAGATTTTTTTACCATTAAGGAAGTCAAGGACTTCTTAGCCGATCGAGACAAAGGTTATGGAAAGCCCAAATCGACAACGACATCCCAGCGTAATAATGGGCCTCCGGCCCGGTCCCCCTCCCCTTCTCTCTCTCAAACAAAAACAAAAGGGGAGAAACCCTCAACACCCGTCCGTCCCGTCTCGTTCTGCGCCGTCTCGCCGGTCTCCATCTCCATCACCGGAGAACAGCGATGTCGGCGACCTACTGCTTCCGCCGCATACTTTTGCCTTTCACTCCTCGCGCCCAGTCAATCTCCCCATCTCCTCGGCCTCGGCAATAGTATCCTCGCGAGTTCGCCCGCCGGCGCCAATCTCCATCCCGCGAGCAGCCGTGCCGGCGTCCTGCTGCTTCCGCCCCCGGTGAGCACCCGTGCCCTACACTCATCGTCTTTATTCCCCATCTTCTGTTGTAGATCTGGGATATTTTTTCGCTTTGTCTCAATCCTAGTACTAATAACAGGTTTCCCCCAAAAAGAAATATATTTGGTGCCCCTGGCATCCGGTAGATCGGCATGCCAGCGGCCTTGGTGGCGTGCAGCGGCAAGCGCCGGCGGCGGACGGCCACCACTCATGCTGCTCGGGACTCATCGTCGTGGGCTTCTCTGGCGGAGGATCTGGTGAGCCTGATAGGCTGGCGGGTGCTGGCTGGAGATGTGCGAGACTACATCTGCTTCCGCGCCGCGTGCCACCACTGGCGCTCCTGCACCGCCAGCCCGTGCGGCCGCGGCGTTGTGGACCCACGCTTCCACCCGCGGCGGTGGATGATGCTCCCTGAGGGGAACGGTCTCTACCCGGGCCACGGCATGCTGCGTGGCTTCGTTCGCTTCTTCAACCTCTCCACCGGCGCTTTCGTCCGTCTCAAGCTGCCCATCGTCCGCGACCACCGCATCCTTGACTCCGTCGACGGAATCCTCCTCCTGCAGCGGAACCGTGACACCGCGGTCCGTCTTCTCCACCCCTTCACCGGCGACATCGTCGACTTCCCGCCGCTGGACACCTTGCTGCCGTACATGGGCCGCCGGTCGGAGGAATATCTCAGAGATGTCGCTGCTGCCTCCATAACATCATCAGCTGATGATCAAGCCGTCTTGCTTATGATATGGTTATTCCGCACGGTGCGCGTAGCCTTCGCCGCCTCTGGGGATAAGCAGTGGAGGGTGTCGAGCTGGTCCATGTACCAAGCCTATACTCCATTGCCATTCCAAGGCAAGCTATACATATTGGATCAAGCCACGGCTTATGGTGGACCTGAGGTCTTGCAGATAGACCCACCCCTGCAACTGCAACTGGAAGGGACGACGGAGCTCTCGCTACCACCACCAAAATCAATTGCTAAATGTCCAGCAAGGACACCTGACTCATTCTTTCTCTACCATTTGGTAGAATGTGACTCTGACATTCTGTTGGTCACCTTTGGTGTTAGTGTGTATGCACAAATTTCAGTTTACAGACTAGCTGATCTTATTTCGGGAACAACTGTCCCGGTGACTTGCATCGGCAGCAATTCCCTTTTCCTTGGTAATAGGAATCTCTGTGTCAGCTCCAAGGCGTTTCCTACCATTGTGGGTGATGCCATTGTGTTTTACCATCAGAAGGAGAATTATCTTGCACAATACCACCTCAGAAGCGGCACATTGTCACCCACATCAGATGGATGTATCTTTGCGACTAATATGCCAAGTCCTAGTAGCATCATTCACCATATCTACACCTGTTGCTTTCGTACACAATGGTTAGTGACATGTTTTTTATTTTTTTCCCGTCATTGTTCTCTTTAATAATAGTTATTCCTTTCAATGGAGCATTTTGTGCTCTGCTTGGTAATTAAGCTCATTGTTTCCCCTCTCTACCTGTAGGACCAAGGGACATTTATTGTTTCAAAGGGAGAACAGGGCATGGCAGATGAAACGGAAGTAGGGATAGACGGGGTAAGTCTTGCCTCCGGTGCAATGATTCTGCTTGAATGTATGCATTTTTGGCTTCTACTATGCACCCAACTCTCAATACAACTGATTGATCAATTTATTAATTATTGAGTCTTTTTCCTAGTATTAAAGTGAAAGCAAGATGGCTGCAGAGCTTTGCATTTTAATTAGATATTATGCAACTATCTGGGCACACATTTCTCAATTGGGGTTTGCAAATCTTCGTGAGACCCTACAAGTGTATATATTTATTACTAACATTGATTGCTTATTTTTGTTGAGATACACTGAAAAAGTAATTGTCTTCTGATGAATTGTGTCGTGTAAACAACTTGCTTTCTTCTAATTGTATGACATGCAATCTTTTGCATGTTTGCGAGAAAAAATACGCTGTGCATTTTAGTTACAATTATTATTATGCATAAGATGAATTAGTAGGTTATGCTATTTAGAGTTTTTGTTTTTTGAAAAGAAACATATTCGGTGAGGAAAATAAGATGTAGGTTAAGATTTGCATTTGCACTTTACAGCACAAATGGACAGTTAGCTGCACCCATCTGCATACAGGACTGAAAATGGTCTCACAGCTGCTTGTATGGAGCTACTAAAGGAGTTTGAACAAGTAATGCTGGCCATTGAGGTTATGCAACCTACAAAACATATGAAAGTAGTAGTAATGACCTTGATGTAACACAATTTGAACTGTACAATGTGCCTGTAGAGTGTCCATGTTCTCTCTTGTCTTCTTAGGTAACTCGCCAAGCATCACAACCACAATTAGCACAGTTGAATTTGATTATGGTTGTCATTTACAATTGCAATGTTATCACTGTTACAAATCATACTTGACTAGTTTATTTCTTCTGTTAGCACTGAACTTAATTAGCAGAGAGAAAGCAAATGCATTTCTGTGAGGATGTGCATATGTATTTGCAAGTTATTGCATTGTTTGGGAGTTGAACACACATTGCTCACATGTTGATTTTCCAGAAGCTTTAAAAGGATAGTCTTAATATGTTCAGTGGAGATGCTAGTTTGCCATTTTCATATTTAGGATCTAAGACATTCTCTATCTAAATGCTTTATCATGCATGTGTTTCCTACTATTTTATTTGATTAGATTGGTTCAGTTAGTATAGTGATGACTAACTTGTCGCCTGTTTTTCTACTTGGGTCCTGCTAGGCGTAAACAACTCTTGTTTTGTGTTGGTGGTGGTGCCTGCCTGCCTGGTTTTCCTTCAGGGATATATTTGTTGATCTACAGGGGAAGTAGTTCCCGGGGGCTGTGAAAGTTTTGCTTTGGTACTTATAATCATGTTACTATTTATGTGACAAAGATGCTTCCCTCTGTTGTTGAATCAGGCAACTGTTTCATGTTGAAACAACTAAATTAATTATTGTAATTGGCATGGTATTTTCCAATGGAGTTATGTAACCCTGGCTTGTAAAGTTCTTGTGACAATTGATCAAACTTCCATCATCATAGTAGAATTCTAATATATCCTTATGAGCTAGTCAAACTTAGCTATCATGAGCATAACTAATTAGAGTTGTTTGATGAAAATATTGTAAAATTCTATCTAATTCTGGGGGTTCCTTTGGATTTTTGGCAAGAGGTATTCTAGCCTAGCCTAGCCATGCTTTGTGTTTGGAACTGGTGAAAAAAAAATCCTAGCTTTTTGGAGCAAGCTATCCTCCACGGGCCAGAAAAACCGGGCTCGTCGAGAAATTCGTGAGAAATGACGAGCATTCGAGCAACCGTTCGGCGTAGCTGAAACAAGCTAGTTTGCTAGCTCGAGCTATAGCTCAACTTGGCTATGCTACCAAATTACCAAAACGATCGTCATACACTAAGCTAAAATCATGCGCTTTGCAAGCAAAATGTACAATCAAAATATTACTCCCTCTGTCTCTCGATATTTGACGCTGTTGACTTTTTTAAACACATTTGACCGTTTATCTTATTCAAAAATTTTTGTGAAATATATAAAACTATATGTATATGTATACCTAAGTATATTTAACACTGAATCAAATAATATGAAAAGAATTAATACTTACTTAAATTTTTTAATAAAACGAACAATCCAATATGTTTTGAAAAGTCAACAGCGTCAAATATTTAGAGACGGAGCGAATACTATCTAAAATAACTTTCCCCTCCCGTCTCTCTCGGTGCCTCCTCTGAGAGGTGACTTTCAGTGCGACGTAGAGTTTTCCCCTCCGGATTCCCTCTCCGTCTCCGGTGGTCTTTGGCCGCCGGCGAGGGGATGAGGGGTCCGAGGGATAGTCGGGCTCATCCCGTAGTCAGGTAAATTCTGTAGTAGGTTTTTTTTTTTCCTTTTGCTGTGCAGTTCGAAGAGGATGGTGGCATCTTCCTCCTTCGTCCTGGAGGTGTCTGGCCATGGATGGAATTGCTGGAGCTCGCTCTGGCATATATCGTCCGGTTGAAGACCTCTGGGTTAATCACCTACGTCCTACTCCTCTGTGTGTGCAGGTCGGAGTTCTCCAGATCCACATAGGAGAGGTTGCGCCGGCTGTTCAAGAATTCTCCAGCAAGAAAATACACAAGAATGGTGTTCTTCTCCTTCGGCATCGATGTCGGATTTACAAGGGGCGGCTGTGATTTATTTGTTTGGCCAAGGTAGCTTCAACCTCCATCACGGAGGTCCCGACTGGGTTTGCTCCTCGGCTCAATCATTTGTAGCTTGCCATGCTATCATCTCCGTCGTTGTGGGCAGTGGGCACAAGTTGGATCATTGCTCTTGTGAAAGAGGCAGATGAAGGACCCGATTGCCTTTTCCTTTTCTTTTCAAGTCCTTTTCTGCAATCTGCATGTTCTAAAGTTAATTTGCTCATCTTACAGGGTACTTTCCGCAAACTGGATCTACTCCCAGTTCCTATGTTCCCTCGTGTACCATGTACTTAAGCTCACTAGAAGAGTATAAGTGCATGCTGGGACACGCCGCGCACAGAAATTGGCTCGAACAAAATTACCATGAAGCACAAGCACATGCTAAATATTGTTGACTGAATGTTTCTAGTTTCACTTAACCATAGCCATGGGACTTGTAAATTGGAATTAGAATCATTTAGGTCAATATACATGGAAAACCATGATTTCAAACAGTTATAATACTAAATTATCATGTGTTAACCTTTTTAGACTCATCCTCACCCACAGATCCATCTTAGGCATCTTGGCGTCCATTTTTAGGATCAAAAGAAATCGTACAGAGTGCACATCATATCGACATAGGAAATCATATACAATGACAAGGACTTCAGTGTTGGTGCTGCCTTCCCCCTCGAGCCATTTCGTCATAGTGACCCTGATATGGCTTATCATGTGGATGTACAATCTTTATGCTTTGATGCTAACAATGAACTTCTCCCAGGGGAAAAAAAAAGCAATTATAATTTCATACTGTACCATTATGTTCACAGTGAAAGCAATCAGGAAAAGAAAAAGAGTGTGTTCACAGTTGTTGGAGGTATACCACGAGAACCTTCGGCCGAACCTACCGAAACCAAGGGCCTAAGCAAGGGCGCAAGACGGAGGCAAGGGACGAAGGCCGAGGAGACAACATGGGCGAAGGCCACATGGCGAAAGCCGTGGCATGAAGTACACAAGCTTCGCCGGGGATGGACCTCATCGGAGAGCCATTCGGCCGAAGACTACGAGGCGAAAGCCTTGCCACGAAGGGCATGGGTTTCGCCAAGTACCAAACTTCACCAAGAAAAGGCCCAGCGGGCCAACATGCCTTCCGGAGGCTTCGCCAACAATTGGGCCGAGCTACTTGGCCCATTAGGAGCCCATGCAAGCAAAAGACACTGTATGCCCATAATAATGTCCCTATCATAAAAGCAACCATGTAAATTCCCCTGTAAAGCCTAAACCCTAGAGGAGGAATCTGTAATAGGGTTATAAGTAGCCCATGTAACAGGGGATCTGAAAAATTTTTACTAAGCAATACAATTGTCTCTTTTTCCAACCACTGTTGAGAGAACCACTTGAAGCAGTTGTCGAATCGAAACCACTGAGAGTGAACGAAACCACTGATGCCATTGAAGAAGATCGTTAAGGAGAGAGTTGCCAAGCGAAAGGAGGGTAGCAGCGAGGGGGAGATGGCTGGGGAAGAAGGAGCAGAGCCTTTGGCTTCCAAGGCCGAAGCAAGAGCCACGCCACCTCCGGCGGTGTCGCCATCTCTCCCACCTTCGGCACCGACTACTTCGACAGACCAGGAGGCGGCGAAGGCAGCGGCCGCGGCGAAAGCGCTCCAGATCAGGGACGTAATCCTTTCGTCTCAAATACCGGGGGCGTCTCAAGCTGCCGCCTCGTCGCAACAAGCTACAACTTCGACAACACTCACCAACTCGCAAGCCAACGCTAGCCTTGAAGCTCAAGCCGAAGCTGACATGGGCGCTATGCGTCAGAACATGGCCAAGTTGCAAGATACGCTTCGCCAGATGCAAGAGCAGCAGCAAGCGTACGAAGCGGCAAGGCAAGCCAAGGCCTACGCCTAGCAGTTTTTGACAGTCTTAACCCAGCCCCAAGCTTTTCCTCCGCATGCTGCACAAGTCGTACAAGCTCGCTGCCGCCTTCATCCTCCACACCTGCCGCCGTGCTCACCGGTGAGGATCCCTTCCTCTTTTTCTCCTCTCCCTCCTAGCACCGAGCCGCGCCGCCGCCTTCCGCAACGCCGATTGCCGTCGCCGGTGACCGCGTGCCGCCGCCGCACTACCATAGCCGTCCGGCCGGCTTGAAGCTGAGCCGAGCCCGGCAGCCGCCGCCCGCGCCGTCCGATCGGCTCCCGGCCAATCTGGACCATCGGTCTCGAGGACCGGCTGTGGGCCACCCGCACGGTCCCGGTCCACGGTGGATCGGCCCATTTGAGCCGCTGCCAGGTGGGGCCCACTTGCCGGCGCCGCCCCCCTGTGCTGACATCATCACCTGGGTTTATTGCGCAATAAAACCTCTTAAGGCTTTTCTTTTTATAGTAAAAACACAGATAATCTTCTAAAAATCATAACTACTTCATCCGAGCTCCGTTTAAGTCCATTCAAGTCTAAGTAAATTCATAAAAATCCCTAGAATCCATTAAAAATGGTTTTGTTTCCTGTTTCAATAGACTTATAGCATGTTTTGCTTGTGTGCTTTGTTTGTCGCGTAGTTTTCAGCCATTTCGTCGCTCCGTGGTGCGTCAAAGTCTTTGCAAATGTCTCATCAGTGCGAGAGCAAGGCAAGTCATGCTTGTTAATTGATCATATTGCTCCCATATTGTAAATGCTCTACTTTTCCATAAATACTGCATGGTTTTATAATGTCATGGTATGGGCTATTTACCTACTGTTCTCAGCCTTATTATTTGTATGTCCTATTCCTTTGCTAACCTGGGATTTAACATGATTAGATGTTGGATTAGGAATTTCTTAGCCATGTTTAGTTCAACTAGTACACAAAGGGGGATTCACATTAATACATAGATATTGGCTTTTAGCATAAACCATGGTTGTTCGACTGGCTCAAACTCTGCGACGGACGCGGGTGTCCATTCGGCCACAAAATCAGCGAGGACTTGGGACTTAATTGCAGTGCGAGCGACAAAGTGTAGGTCGAAAGGTGATAGCTCAGCGGCCCATTTGCTTAGGCGCCCCGTGATTTCTTTTCCTCGAAGCACTTCGCCCAAAGGGTACTGCGAAGGTACTACGATTATGTGGACTTGGAAGTAGTGTTTAAGCATTCTTGAAGCCATCACTAGGGCGTAAGCAAGTTTTTCCATTTCAATGTATCTAACTTTCGCCCCTGGAGCGCTTCGGAGATGAAATATACTGGCTTCTGGCCTGCTTCGGTTTCTTGTACCAAAGCTGCGCTGACAGCGACAGGCGAAGCTGCTAGATAGAGCCACAACTCTCTCTCTCTGGCACTGGGCTGACCAAAGCTGGAGGGCTTTGGAGATACTGCTTAAGCTCATCGAAGGCTGCTTGGCACTCGAGCGTCCAACTGAACTTTCCTACCCCTCGAAGGGTCTTGAAGAATGGCAAGCCCCTTTCGGACGCCTTTGATAGGAATCAACTAAGTGCCGCAATTTGCCCCGCGAGCTTTTGTACTTGTCGTACGCTCGATGGTGGCTTCATTTGCTGAATGGCATCGATTTTTTCGGGGTTCGCTTCGATCCCCCGTTCGGACACAAGGAATCCCAATAACTTACCAGCACGAACGCCGAACACACACTTCTCTGGATTTAGCTTCATGCCGGATGCACGGAGATTGTCGAAAGTCTCTTGCAAGTCTGACGCATGGTCGAAGGCCTTGCGACTTTTTACGACAATGTCATCAACGTAGGCTTCGATATTTCGCCCCAATTGTGACCCCAAGACTTTGTACACCAGCCTGGCAAACGTAGCCCCCGCGTTTCTCAGGCCGAAGGGCATTCTGAGATGGCAGAAGGTGCTGAAGGGCGTGATAAAGGCTGTCTTGGGGATATTTGCCGGGTTCATGTGAATTTGGTGATATCCAGAGTATGCATCCAAGAAGCTCATGAGCTCACATCCGGCAGTCGAATCAACTAGCTGATCGATCCGAGGCAAGGGGAAATCATCCTTCGGGCACATCTTGTTGAGGTCCATGAAATCAACACACATTCGCCACTTGCCGTTTGACTTTTTTACCAATACTGGATTTGCTAACGACTCTGGGTGGTCAATCTCTTGTATTACTCCTGCTTTTAGCAGCTTGTTCACTTCCGCTTTCGCTGCCTCCTGGCAATCTACCGATATTTTCCTTAGCTTCTGCTTTTTCGGCTTTGCGTTAGGCTTGACTGCGAGATGGTGCATGATGAGATCTGGCAAAACACCTCCCACCTCGTCTGGACCCCAGGCGAAGATATCAATGTTTTTCTTGAGGACAACCAGGATGCTATTCACTTGTTGCTCATCCAGGTCTCCGCCGAGCGATATGACTTTCGCTGGATCGGATTCATCTATCTGCAATTGGACAACTTTGCTGTGGGGGGCGGGTTTCGGTGTTGGTTTTGCGTTTTCTTGCCCTTCGACTTCTAAGGTATGAACTTCCCTGTTGAAAGGAGCCACCGTGGCAGCCGAAGGCTGGGACTCCTTGACAACTATCACACCAGCTGGGCCAGGCATCTTGAGCTTGAGGTAGTTGTGATGAGAGACTGCTTCAAACTTTGTCAAAGTGCCCCGGCCGAAGATGGCGTTGTAATTGTATGGGATGTCAACAACGTTGAAGAGTATCTCTTCTTCTCTTCTGTTATCTTTCGTGCCGAAGGCGACTTTGATGAGGGCCTGCCCCAGTACTTGCACTGCTTCACCTCCGAACCCCCGGAGCGAAGTTGGTGCTTGGGATAACGCCAAAGTTGGCAAACCCATCTTGGTATATGTCCCGACGAATATGACATCAGTCGAACTTCCCCCATCGATCAAGATGTGCCGGACTTCAAAACCAGCCATCTCTGCCGAAACTACCAACGGGTCTTGGTGTGGGAAAAGAACCCCATCGGCATCCTTTAGCCCGAAGGATATTGGCTGCGACAAGTATCTTGGGACCCCATCACCTTCTGAGACAATGTTGTGCACTACTCGAAGTTGCATCTTCTTCTGTCGTTTTGACACTTGTGAGGGGGGATCGGATCTTGTGATGACCTGAATCACTCTTCGCTGCGCGTCTTGGTGTTATTCTGCTTGAGGTGCTTGGTTGAGGACCGCTTCACGCGGTGCCTCTTCGGCCCTTGCTTGCTGCTGCCTCGGCGCTTGAGCGTTCCCTTGCTGCCGAATATTTCGACATTGCTCGGTCGTGTGTGAAGAGCGTCCATGAAAAGCGCAGTACAGGTCCTTGATTTTCTTGCGAAAAGGTTGTTGTTGTCCGCCCGCTTGTTGGGCGTCGAACTCCTTGCGGAGGGCCTGCACTTCTTCAACCGCCATCACTGCCTTGCTAGTTCGCTCAGTCCTGAATTTCTTCCATGTCATTGGGGCTTGGTTCGGCCTTGGATGCTGTCCTTGGTTCGCCGGAGCGGTAGGGTGAACCAAGACGGGCGCTGAACTTACAACTTGGGCTTGGACCTGAGCTTGGGCGTTGGCCTGTGCAGTGGCCGCTGCGGCTGAAGCTGCCTTGTCATATTCGGCTTGTATCTCTTGTCTTCGCTTGGTGTCCTCTTCACCTCGAGCATATCAATCAATTATGCGAAAGAGGTGTTCGATCGTCCTCAGCTCCTTGCGTTCAAGCTTTCTTGTGAGTTCGCCCTCGAGTAAGCTGGCTGAAGCAGCATTGATGACGGAAGCTTCGGTTATGTCTTGCACTTGGCACCGTGCTTGCAAGAAGCGACGTATGTTTTCCCTTGTTGATTATCCTGGCCTTTGGCAAATGCCGAGAAGGTCATGCTGAATTTTCGGCTCCTCATAGGTGCCTCGAAAGTTAAGGACAAAGACATCGCGCAATTGCTCCCATGAGTAAATGCTGCTAGTAGGCAAATTAAAGTACCAAGACCTGGCAATGCCATCGAGCGCGAGGTGAATTACCTTCGCCTTCGTATTTTCGTCACCATGGGTAGCTTCGATTGCGGATTTGTAGATGGAAAGGAACTCCTTCGAGTCCGTTTCTCCCGAATACCTTAATAGGAGGAACTTGAGCTGGGGGGATGGGGTGATTCTTGATCCCCGAACTGAGGGTCAAACCCTTTTCGCCACCCGTCTTGACCATGGTCCCTTGCTGAGAGGGCCAATTCAACTGTGGGTATCAGGGCGCGAACGGCAAAGCCACAGCTTGTACATGAGGTTGGACTGCGGGTGTCGATTGATGCCCCGTGCCGAACATCATTGCCTGGTTTTGCTGGTCTGACGAAGTAGCTTGCATTGCCACTGCAGGGTCGAACATGGCTTGATTCCAGGCTTGATTTGGTGGTGGGGCTGCTCCGTACCCAGGGGGTACGGCTTGTGCGAAAGTCATGGGTGCTTGGGCCGCTGTGCTTGGGTCAAACTATGGCGGTTGGCCTTTAGGCGAAGCCCCTTGAGCTTGACTTGGTATGGCGAACTAGCCCAACAGCTGTCCCACCGGTGCACCCTGATTTGGGCTTCCCTCGGCCTAGGCCGGAGGCGAAGTTCTTGGTAAATTGTTGTGGGGTTGATTGAGTTGTTGCAAGAAGGCTTGAAACTGTGCTTGTAAGGTCGAAGTTGCTTCCATCATTGCTTGTGGCGTGTGAACAGGCTTCGCGTACTAGGCTTGAGGTGCCGTCAGGCGAACAGGTGCCGAGGCCACTTGCGGTGTCGGACGCGCGGCAACGGCTGGGGCGGGCTTGGCGAAGTACACCGGTGCTTGCACAGCGTGTGGAAGAAGAACTTGGGGCTGAGCGTAGAAGTGCAGGGTGTGGGCCTTGGCTTGTCTTGCTGCTTCGTACGCTTGTTGCTGCTCTTGCATCTGGCGAAGCGTGTCTTGAAGTTTAGCCATATTCTGACGCATGGCCCCCATGTCAGCTTCGGCTTGTGCTTTGAGGTTGGCGTTGCCTTGTGAGGTGGTGATTGCTGTCGATGTCGTGGCCGGTTGGGCGAAGGCGGCGGTCGAAGGCGCCCCCGGTGCTTGGGATGACAAGATCGCGTCGGGCGCCGAAGGCGGGAGAGCAGACGGCAACACCAGTGGCAGTGCCGCTCTAGCTTCGCCCTCAAGAAGCCGAAGGCTCCGCTCCCTCTTCGGCTACCATCTCGCCTTCGCTGCCACCTTCCTTTCGCTTAGCAACTCTCTCCTTGGCGATCTTCTTCGGTGGCATCAGTGGTTTCGCTCGGAGCTCCCCACGGTCGGCGCCAGCTGTTGTCGAATGGACAACTGCGTCACGTCGAAAGGCGTGGATTTCTCAACAATAGTTGGAAGTTAAAACAATTGTATTGCTTAGTAAAAATTTTTGGATCCCCCTATTACATGGCCTTAGGGAGCTATTTATAGCCCTATTACAGGTTCCCCTTTAGGGTTTAGGTTTTACAGAGGAATTTACATGGCTACCCTTATGATAGGGATATTATTGGGGGCACACGGTGTCCTTGTATGGGCCACTATTGGGCTAAATGGCTCGGCCTATTTATTTGGCGAAGTCCTCCGAAAGCACAACGGCCCGCTAGGCCTCCTTACGGTGGGGTTCGGTACTTGGCGAAGCCCGTGCCTTCGTGCCAAGGCTTTCGCCTCACCGTCTTCGCCCGTGCGGCCTTCTGACGAGGCCTTTGCCTGGCGAAGTCCGCGTATTCCGAGCCACGGCTTTCGCCATGTGGCTTTCGCCCATATGGTTCTTTTCTCGACCTTTGCCGCTTGCCTCCGGTCTGAGCCTTTCACCTATGTTCTTGGTTTCGGTAGGTCCGGCCGAAGGCCCTTCGTGGTGTACCTCCAACACCATGCATCATGTCCACGGTAACAGGTAATCCCTGGGTCAAAAGAGATGGTCATTTTCGGGATCAATGTGGTACAGCCTTTCCTAACAGTTGGCATAATCTCAGGTCATCTACTTTCATAATTTCATTGTCTTCTGCTACATCTCCTGAATAAAAATGGGGTCATATGCTTAACTCCATAAACATCACAGAGGATAGAGAAAAACTTAAACAAAAGGTTGGTCTCAAGCTAGACAGATGCACATATTGTCATGAAATTGGGGTCACGGGGACGTAAGTTTCTTGCCTACAGCTAGCTATATTTGTTTTTATGGCTGCTCTTCTGATTTCATTAGATATTTAGATGCATGTAAAATTTTGCTCTTATTTCAAATAGTATATTTATTTAATTTCAAGAAATGGAATATACTAAACAGCACCATTTCCCATAGACTGATGCACAAGAAAACAATCAATCCTGGTCGCTTCTTGAGGATTCTTAATTTTTATTTGTTTCCAACAGGGAATTGTTAAGTAAAAAATAGCAATTTTATTGTGAAGAACAGAAGAATGGTGTCTTATGAACTAGATTAGAGCCAACTGGAAGTTAGTAGAAAACCATCATATTCGTTCTTTTTCATGATATGAAGTACACTAATTTTGTCTGGTTTACTGTCATTTACAAATTTCTTAAACATTACACAGAAATAAAACAACAATGTCTTAACTCACATGGGATGGACATGGACTCCATAAAATTTATTAGAATTTGAAATACAAAGCATTATTAATCCCTAAATGATATATATATGGAATAACAAAATCCATGGATCCCAGTAATGGTAGCAACCAGCTGAGTTGCTCTGCTACTAACTGTAGGATTGAGAACTCACATTCTAACTGTGCCTAATTCAATGCTTGCAATTAGTCATCAGCTCGGTTAATATTTGTCTAGCAGTTGTTCTATTGAACTGTACAGAATAACCAAAAAATTAATATATTCATTTCTTACTATGCCACATAAAATAAGCTATAACTTCATTAAAGTCAAAACAGTTCTATTAAAGTCAAGTTCTCTTGAAGCTCCACTTTTCTTATATAAAAGTAAAGTGGACCTAAAAACTTTCAAATATGCATGAACACAATAGCGTTAATAGGGTGTAATGAATTTTCTAGAAATAGCAACACCAATTAGACAAATTAGTGAAATCTAATATCCTCAATGATTGCAGGTACAACATCATCATAGATTCACCACTTACCGTCAACCCAACTAGGATGCTAAGAGGGGCTCCGTAAGTACTTGGTATAGTTAATACCAAAAATCTAAAAATATTCTCATAAATCGAATTTATCCTTTTTCATCCCTCATATAGAGTGCTTGAGTTTAAAGAGGAAAGCTATTCAACAATTGGGGTTATGCCCCCGTTATGGTGGTGCAGACTCAGTAATATGGGGCCAGTTTGGTTTGAGATCTAAATTAGGCTTGCCAATTTTTTGGCAATCTCAACAATAATTGTGTATGTTTGGATTGAAGCCAAATTTTGGCATGCCTATATAACATAGGCCATTTCAATAGCCAAATTAGTTTAATTTGGCTTCAATCCAAACACATGTTGGCCTTCCCAAAAATTAGCATGCCAAAACTTGCCAAAATTTGGCATGGTAAGGCCAACATTGGTCACAAACCAAACTGGCCCATGGTTTTATGTAGAACCATTCTGCACATTCCATCTTGTCAATTGCTTCGAGGAAGGTGATCTCGGTTAGACACAGGTCCACTGCAATTTTGAACTACAGTAAATATGTGTTCAAAGGAAGGAGCATCTATCTACCATACCCTATAGTTCAACAAATAATTACCCTCATTCTTTCATTCATCACTCAAGGGTTCAGATCATCCGTGTAAAATCCAACGCATCAGATCATCTCCACCTCCCCACCTCTGCATTCCCCAGCCCCACGCACATCGATCTCCCCCTCATCCCGCAATCCGCACGCCCTCTCACCTTCCTCCCTCCCTCCCCTAACCGCGTCGCCGCCCTGATCGCCGCACCCGCGATCTCCGCACAAATCCCGCAAGGCCGCCACCCCTTCCAGGCCGCTCTAGACCGGCGTCGTCGCCCGCATCGCCCCCTCCGCTCCGATCCCCATATCGCGAGTTGCAAGCAGAGCATGGGAGGGGAGGGGAGGGGCGCCGTCGTCCCACTGCAGACCGGCCCGTTCCTCGCGCTCTCCTCTCTTGGCCCCCTCCGCGGCCAGGAAGACGTCGCCACCACCCCCTCTATCCGCGACGACGCCACAACCTCCGTCCGCGCCGACCCCACGCTGCCCATGCCGCCGGTCCTTCGTCCACGCACCGCCGCCGCCGATCCTCCTTTCGCGCGCCGCTATCGCTGCCTCCACCGCCGTCCGCGTCGACCCCACGCTACCCATGCCGGCGGCCTGCTGCCCCACATCGTGTTAACACCGGGATCAGGATTCTGGCCATCGTCTCCACGCAGATATAGGAGTTGTGAATTTCCCCCTTTTATCTTTCTTGGTTTTTCTGCTCTCAGTTCTAATAGGCCTACAGATTGTCTGAATCCATTTGAACAAGGTTCTGCACAAATCTTCTGATAGAATTCTGATTTTCACAAAATTAACCGTGGTGGTATTTTACGCATGTGGCAATTTAATTACCAAAATAATAACTATTTCTATCACTCTTAATGTTTAGGTAACCTGCCCAAGTGAATTGTATTAACTAATTGATGTTTTTTTGGGGGGTCTCTGTTGCTGTTCCTGGATGATTCTCTTCTGTTTCATGGTCTGCAGTGCATGGACAGTGTTTACAAGGTAGCCCTATACTCCTATATTCATCACAACATAGTAGGTAGGTGCGTATCCATTTGCTTTAATTCACATAGAAAACTCCCTACAATTGAAATTCACGAATAAGGTGCATATTTTGTTCTCAGCCGCATCACCGTCTGTTTCCGCCATGGCAGCGTGACTCCGCGCGACGGCTGGAGGAGGCGAGGTCGGGCCTGCCCTCCATAGACGGCAGACTCCGCGTGACGGCTGGAGGAGGCGAGGTCGGGCCTGCCCTCCATCGACACTCCACGCCGCCGCAGCCCGCAGCCCCATCAGCGCCGTCGCTCCATCGCCGTCCCGACCTCGAAGGCGAACCGGTTTCGAGTCCCTCGCGCTGCCACTGATCCCAGGGCTCCTCAACCCTGCAAGCCGTCGATCCTGCCTGCGAACAAGGTAAGAGTGCTTCTCGATCCCGTTCCTGTACAATAGGAGGCATACGTGGCATGTTATGGTTCATTCATAGAGATGCATAATGGCTTTATCCCCTTTGTTGACCAAATCCCCATTGTTCATTATTAAACATTGTTCACTGTGCATGGATATCTGTGATGCAAAACTCTAATCCAAAATCTGAAGTCCTTAGTGGTTTACTGTACCTGACAAGCAAACATCTCAAACATGTTTGTAAAAACCTCTCGAAAGTAGAGTAGCACGTTCCTCGACCCTGTTCATTGAGGTAAGTATTGTTTAATGATGCTAATGTATGGTACTGTTAAGCTGATATTTGATGCTACTGAAATATGTAACATATGGACATGAATGTTCACTTCTTTTTTATGTAAAATGTATATTACCTCATTAATATGAGTGCTTTCAAACCTGACACCATCATAATTGGAATATTTGATTATGAGAAAACCCTTATAATTTATCTCTACTGTTCTTGAGAGTTAGAAAAATCTTTCAATACATTTTAGTAGTTTTAGATGCTAAAATTCCAGAAGTTGAAGGCTTATCCATGCAGTTTTAGATTTTTGGTTGGATGGAATTTGGATTCATTGAACATTCTTAAACTATGGCTCTTTTACCATCAAAACTTTACATTTTCCATATCATCTTCGACTGCTTGTAGACAAACAACTACAGAAGAATATCTCATGCTTTTTATGAAACCGGCTAATGTGACAGTATCGAGGGGGGTCTTGGCCGGATCAGTTGCTCATGGCCGGTAGGAGTGAGGAGTACACAGGCTTCCACACTACGAGGTAATCTGCGTGCATGATTCATGTGCCTGTTGGTTTCTCTATCTAAATGATAGTTCATTTTGGTATACCTCCATCATTCCAGGAAACTTCAATGCTCGAGTTGTCGAGCTAGGTTGGGGATATTTGATTCTTTAATCTATATAGGGTTTGGTAGCGTGCACTCAGCCCTTAGGACTTAACATGACAGTAAGTGAGAAAAAGGGAAAACAGTGAGTTTTTGCATCAGGCTGGCTCAACTAAATGATTTTTATGTCCCTTTGGTAATGAAAAGAGATTTTTCTGTTGTATACCATCTCATATGCTCTTAAGATACATTTTGATTTACATAACAATTATGTTTCTATGTGAAAGAAACTAAATATATATTTGGTCATTTTGGTAACTGTTCGTTTAACTTGCATGGCATGTTGACTAAACGAGAATTGGCAACTGGAGGGGACAGTTGCAGTTCAGTGCCTGACTTGGCTGGCTGTAGGTACAAGTATTCATAGTCAACTAATAAACGGAATACATCTCCTCGTGCTAATTGCAGGTCCTTTTCATGACAGAACTTACTCAAGAACGAAATGAAATCTGCATATAGTCAGTAGCAACTAAATTTACATTTTCTGTATGTAAATTTACATTTAGTGTAGGATTTATGGGCAATGGCTGAGTTCGACAATACGAGGGACTTATAATAGGTGTCTCCCCAAGCTGAAAACTGAGCAGATTTTTGTAGTGCTTCTGTAATTAAAAATGCCAACTGACCTATTGATTTTTTTTAAAAAAAAAAACTTTCCTATTGATTAATTAGTGGAGATATTACCTTACTAACATTCTCTTTACCTTTATTATTTTTGACATAATCAATGAGAAGATATGTCTTGACATAATCAAAAGGGGTTGAGATTTCATGAGCAAACAATTAGATAATATTTTCTCAGCCCAGGTTTAGTCCTATTCCCATGCTTCACTGCTTGCTCCACTCCTTTTTGTGACTTGGCAGGTACCATCTCATGAGGTTCGTGGTGGTTTTCGATTCTATTTATGTACAGGTGATCACTTTATGAACAATAATCATCTTGATTTTCCTCCATCAATGTTCATGTTACTTGCTGTTGGTATTGCTAACTAGACTTCGTTTAAGAGAAATTTCTTCTGTTGTTTAGCTACCTTTGGTAGGGTTATTTCACTTCTGAAATTTATTCATTTATTTACCCCATATTTGCTATTTAGACAAAATAGCATGATCTCTCTTTTGTGTCACAAGGTAATATCCCAGCCATCAAGGGGTCTTTGATCTGTTAGTAATCCAGGTCATGGCCTATATTACATGGCCACAGATCCTATGAGGTGGGCTGTATTACATTGCCAGACATCCTATATTACATTGCCACTGGTAGGGGTGAAAACGGTACGGAAACGGACGGAAACAACCTTTATCGTTTTCGTTTCCATATTTTTTTCGGAATCGGAATCGGAATCGGAAACCCCGGAAACGAAAACGGAAACGAATATTATCGAAATCGAAAACAGAGCGAAAACGAACCGGTGCGGATACGGTAACGAAAATTTATCGGAATACAGAAACCCCTCAAACTGAGCTTCAAACTTTTGTGAAGTTCAATTCTCAAGTTTTAACAGTCAACAATTCATTATAAAACACAATTATATGAAGTCTAATTGGTAAGTCTCAACAGCAAAATATATTCTTCTATAACTTCATATAATTTGTATAACAAATATTCTAAAAAAATTACAGCAAAATACCATGGTATAAGGTATAAAGTATACACTATTAGCCCGCAGCCCGCAGCCTCTCTCTCCCTCCACGGGCCGGCTTCCCCTTCCCCTCCTCCCTCTTCGGGCCGCCGGCCCAGCCCTTTTGCTCCTCCCTCGCCGAGAAGTCTATAATGCCTCCTTCCTCTCAATTCAAATATTTTTTAGGGTAGTAAATGATTTCAAATGAAAAAAAAGTCAATAACAAAGTTGTATAACTTATCAAGATCAACAACTTTTGTTTTGGTCATTTTGCTATATGACTTTGTTTCAATAATTTGAATTTGAATTTCAAATTATGACAACTTCAAACAACATTTTTAAATACTAAATGATTTCAAATGAAAAAGTCATCAACAACAAAGTTGTATAACTCATCAATATCTACAACTTTTGTTTTGATCATTTTGCTATATGACTTTGTTTCTATAATTTGAATTTGAATTTCAAATTATAACAACTTCAGACAATATTTTCAAGTACTAAATGATTTCAACTGAAAAAGTCATCAACAATAAAGTTGTATAACTCATCAATATCTATAACTTTTATTTTGGTCATTTCTTCATCCGATAAAGTGATAGTAATATTATTCACAAAATTTACATATATCTCCTATAGTCTATAAACTATATAAGAGATATGTATATTTTGTGAACGATCTTATAAATCACTTTATCGGATGAAGAAATGACCCAAATAAAAGTTATAGATCTTGATGAGTTATACCACTTTGTTATTGATGACTTTTTCAGTTGAAATCATTTAATACTTAAAAATGTTATTCGAAGTTATCATAATTTGAAATTCAAATTCAAACTGTTCAAACAAAGTCATATAGAAAAATAACCAATACTAAAGTTGTAGATCTTGATGAGTTATACAACTTTGTTGTTGACAACTTTCCCATTTGAAATCATTTACTACCCGAAAAATTATTTGAATTTCTTATATTTTAAAATTCAAACTTTATATAGTCCAATCAAACTCGGATGGAGAAATGACCAAAAGAAAATTGGTAGATCTTAACGAGTTCTACAACTTTATTTTTGATAACTTTTTCACACAAGTTCATTTAATATCATAAAATTCGATTCAAAGTTTTAATATTTTAAAATTAATTGTTTTTCCCTCCTCCTCGCTTCAAATTTTTTCATCTCCTCTTCTCTCTCCCTATCCAGATATTTTTACCTCCACTCTCTCTCTTTCTATCCTCTCCCCTCACTCTCTTTCTTTCCTTAACTCTCTTTCTCTCCTCTCCACTCCTCCTAGGGCGGCGGTGGCGGTGGCGGGAGCTGGCGGCGGCGGCGGCGGCACTGCTCGGCCGCCTTGGGCTCCGGCCTGGAGCTGGCGGTGGCGGGGGCGGCGACCTCGGTCGAAGAGTGGGCGGCAACCTCGGGCGGCGGCACCACCGCCATCTCCTCCTCACCGTCGCCGCCGACGACGACGAGGAGCCGACGGGCCAGATCCGGCGGCGACGGTTCTCGTCCCGCCCGGATCCGGCGGCGGCGGACCTCGTCCCGCCCGAATCCGACGGCGGCCTTGGGTGAAGAGTAGCGGCGACCTCGGGCGGTGGCGCCACCGCCATCTCCTCCTCACCGCCGCCGCCGACGACGACGAGGAGGCAACGGGCCAGATCCGGCGGCGACGGTTCTCGTCCCGCCCGGATCCGGCGGCGGCGGACCTCGTCCCGCCCGAATCCGACGGCGGCCTCGGGTGAAGAGTAGCGGCGACCTCGGGCGGTGGCGCCACCGCCATCTCCTCCTCACCTCCGCCGCCGACGACGACGAGGAGGCGGGGGCAGGTGGCGGCGAGCTTGGGCGACGGCTAGGGTTTCTTTTTTTGAATTCTTTTTGGAATTTTATTTTTTTCCGTGATTTAGTGGGTAGCCGGCATCGACGGTGTGGCCAGTGGCCGGCGTCGTCCGCGTCGGCGGCGTCGTCTGTGGTGGTGGCGGCGGCGAAAATGGTGGGGGCGAGGACGGAGCGAGAGAGCCGACTAGCCGAGGACGGCGGCCAGGCGGCCAGCGGTGGCGCTCTCGACCCCTGGATGCGCCGCTCCGCCGCCGCCTCTCTCGATCTCTGATGCGCCGCCTCTCTCGATCTCTCTCTCTCTCTCTCCTCTCTAGGGTTAGCCAGTTAGGGACTTGGGTTGGGCTGGGAACTTGGGGAGGAATTATGGACTATTTGGATGGGCCTTTTTAACTTCGGAAATTCCGACAAACTTTCCGGAATTTTTCCGACCGATTCCGAGTTCCGACGGAAACTGGTATTATCATATTCGATTCCGTTTCCGAAAAAATATTTCCGTTTTCGATTCCGTTTCCGCGAAATTCCGAAAAAATTCCGACCGGCTGATTCCGTTTCCGAAAACAGGTCCGGAATCCGGAAAAATTCCGAACCGTTTTCACCCCTAGCCACTGGCAATGCAGCTTAACGAGATATGGGAATTAATCTGGGAATTTCACTGTAATTTACGCATCTCTGCATGTGGATTTACTGTTATGAAAGATGCTTGTGATTTTCTATACTGATTCGTTTAGTTGTTTCTCATATACAATGGATAGAGTGATTGGGGAGCTAAAGCTGTGTCACCTTCTCTCCAGTTGTATCGAGAGATAAATTAGTGAGATAGGTACTGTCATTAAGAATTTTGCTATTTTGATGTCATGACCACTTATAAAGAGCATGCCCTGTACTTGCCATTTCTTTTGTTTATGGTACATTTTTCAGTGTCATTTAACATTCAAGTACTTCCAAATTGATTCCTTCCTAGCTTCTGAACATACAAGACTCAGAGCTCATATTTCCAATTTGTTTGTATAATCAATATTTTTTAGCATCATGGATGCATATTTAGTGTTTTCTGCACTTGAATCTGTAAATAAACTATATGGTGTCAGATATTACTATGGTGTTTAATATAGAGCACATGTTAATAAGCAATTGTGAGGTGGGCTTATCTATGCATATTTTATTAAGAATCCGTTACATGGTTGCCGGTGTGCTGTATAGTTCATTTATTTTGATCCATATTTGTACCTAAATGGTGCATCTGGAAGTATTTGTAAATATGAGTTGGATTACTAATCTTATATGTTGTCGATTAGGTAAGTATGGATAAAAATCAGTTTGGTGGTGGACCGAGAATTGTATTTGGAGATATAACCAATAACCAAACGGTGTAGTGAAATGGAAAGATATCATATATATTAGTGCTTACCCCTTAGTACATATATAAGTGATATATGAATCGTTCTTCTCTGTTTCATTTTGCAAAAAAAACCACAGGTAAAATTAATGATGAAGATTGACAGTTGAGGAATAGAAAACAACATGAATACCGTGCAAGGAAACAAATTTACGTGAAATATATTTGATGTACGGCATTAATTGATTTAAAGCTCACATGCACATCACAGACCATATAAAAATATTTTTTTGCTAACAAGAAATTCTAAAAATTATTAAAAACAAATATAATTGCACCATAGCGTTTAGCACGGGCATATTACTAGTAAGCAATAGTTGAGTAACTCAGATAGTCAGATAGAGATCAAATAGCTAAAGCAGCAGCTCGATGACTACCTGTTTCTCTTGTGCCTAGCAAAATGCCCGTGTG